GAGTGAAAAGGCTTTTTACATGCATTTCTAAGTAAGTAAAGGAGAAGCTGCTGCATCCAGTGTGAGAATCTTCTGAAATTTGAAATTTTGAAGTAAATTTCTGAGTTTTGTTGTCTGTAATATGCTAGTTAAGGGTATACCCACCCGATCTAGCCTTCTACTGCTATTGTAAAGCCTGTAACTGAAGTACTATTTCTTAGTGCCTTGGCTGATGGTGGCATAGATGAGTGACTTCTCATCCCTTCCATGTTTATATTTCTGAAATGTGTGTGTATTTCTTATTTGTTCCAGCTTTTACAAAACTGATCACAGTAAATGGACAAGAATATCATCTTCAGCTGGTTGATACTGCTGGCCAAGTAAGTTACCCTTCTTTCTTTGAAACCTTCTTCAGACTTAAGACAAGTATGCATACTCCTGTAGAGCTTAAGTTGGTACCAACCATGTGCTCAAAGCTGAAGTTTAACATAAATGATTCTGCCATGTCATTTAGCCACCAAAGAGCAATGTTTCTGTAGTGTTTATTTAAACAGTTTTGTTGGGGGTTGGGGTTTTTTTGGGGGGGTGGGTTTGTTTGGGTTTTTTCTGCTGTCTATTGGATGTATGCCTAAAACAGTGAAGAAGGAACTGCCTTAACTCCGATGTACCAAAAAGTTCTTGCGTAGCTTGCTTGGTATTTATGGACTAAATTAGCGGTCTTGCTTTAGATGGAAAATGTCATTTCAGTAAATCATGGAGTTTTTCATGACTTCTTGTGATTTGTGTGCTCTAGCTACACCGCTGTGACTTACATCCATGAAGCAGTCATGGGGAGTAGACAGAAATACGTCTAGGTCCTACTTACCAGGCTACCAATAAACTACTGCAGTTTGTTTACATTTTTAAGTGATGATTTGTGCATGCTTCTGAGCTTCATGTAATGACGGGGAGCGCAGGAGGAGACAGGGAACACGTGTCCTGTGGCATGGTCAGTAGCTTCATGGAGTACAGGCGTTCATTATATAGTGCTGCTTGGCTGAACTTGCAGTGCACGTTCCCATGCACGGGAGTGTGCCATCTTTTTGAAAGACTATATTAAAAAAGGAGGGGGAGGGAAAAACTGGGGGGGAGAAAGGGGGACCAAACCAGACAACAGGCTGTTAAACCCCTGTATTTTTATCTTAAACTTTTTATTGCTTACATTTTCTTGTCTTCTGTAAGTTCTGATACTATGCCTTTGGTTTTTTTGCAAACTATGAGTAGTGTTAAACAATCTTAGTGTTGTCAGATATGCTGCCAGTTGTTAAGACTTTAAAGCTGCGGGACACTTGCTCATAGCTGGGACACTGTTCAGAAGGGTTGTAACCTTCTTGGTATGTTTGATCTCTTTCTTTGAAGAGAACTACATGACTTAAGAATAACCATGCTGTATTTATATGGTCTCAGCTTGTGGTGCTAATCAGCAGCACTATATCCACTTAACATCTGTCAGAGATGTCTAAAGTGATTACAAACACAATACTGGTGACACGGGCTGGGGCAGGAGTGCTTGATGGGGAATATTCTGCAGAGGAGAGCAGGATGGAGATGGGCAGGCTGCGAAGTGTGAGCAGCAGAGTGAGCTCCATAGGTTTCACTTTGTGCCAATGCAAGTGTGCTTGCCCTACATCTCCAGCTGTAGCGTAGTGTTAAAAGCAAAATTTCCCTTTGAGGAAGAAATGACCACCTGGGAGGGCAGTGTAACTTCCCTGGTAACGTACTTCTATTGCCAAGGCTTATTTTGAGGGTTGATTTAATGTTGTACGGTATTGTAAAACCAAAAGAACTTCTTCCCCAGCCTGTGGTTATTTTCAGATTTGATTCTTCCTATGAATGACTTGAACTTTGAGTTCTGGGTTAGAGGGGAGAGATGATGTTGGGTTATGGAAGGTGTGGCTTGAACAGATTTCTTTCTCAAGTCTGTCTTGCTTAATGATCCATAGGGAGTCCTTGTGTATACAGTATAGCAAGGATTATATTGTAGATTTATTATATACCTGAAAACTTGGCTATGACTTGAAAAGTTATAATCACTTGGCAGAGTTCTTAATTTGAGCCACAAGTTCCAGGAAGCATAGCAGCTTCTCTTCCTTCTCCTAACAAGCTAAAAATTTTAAGTAATGAATTAGAAACAGTTGAGCTTATGGCACTTACTTTTCTTGGTAGTCCTTTTCTATCCCATGCCTCTACCTTTCGTGGTTATCTATTCAGATTTGCATAGTTCAGTTCAACAGTTTTGGTGCAGGGTCACAGAAGCGGTGTGCAAAAGGAAATCTTACCTAACACCAAATTCCAGCTGGAGCAATCCTGAGAAATTCTGGGTAAAGTCAAACAACTCCAGAGTTGCACTTTCACCTGTTTTACATGCAAACTAGGTCAGATCCCTTCTGTATTGACTTTGGGATTACGTGGCCAACTGAAGTGGCAGTTTGGCATTTCAGCGAAGATGGGGGAGGGCTGCCCTCAGTGTGTAGCAATAAAGGCAAATAAGGGCATCTTTTGTCAAGTGTTATTCTTTCAAACTGTTTTTGGCTGAATCTGTGAAATTGATTTATAAGGGGGTTTTCCTCATTTGCCAGTTTGATTCATTTGGGCTGCCTAGATTTAAGCTGTGTGGTTGCACTGCTCCATCTGTTCAGTCATGACAATGTACAGAGAGGTTATGTGATCTTAAACTAAAATTAACGTCTTAAGAAGCATAGATGTAAAAATTTGAGAACTTGTACGTTGAGAAGTATGGCTCTTGTCAAAATGGAAATGTTTCCTGGGAACATCTGTTAGAACGATTTAGATTTTTAACATGGGGTTCATGGTATTTGTGTTGCATTTCCTGCAATATGTAAGTGTTTCATTTACCTGTTTGGTCAGTTCCTTTTCTACAGAGGTAATAAATTCAGTGATGAATTTTCTGTTGGTTTGTGGCTTTTTTTTTTTAATTAAACACTTGTCATTATATTATAAACTTCTAGTTGTCATACAGCAACTAATAACTATATTTCTTGCATCTACAGTTGATAAGCATTAGTTAGTTGGTAAGCCACAGTTGCTCTCTTCCTAACAGACCCCGTAGGTAATTTAATGTGATCAGTGTCATTTGAAATTACAAACTGCTAGATCCTGTCATCAGCTGTGGAAATTAGGAGTATGAAATGTATCGCTAGCAAGATAAGAGATGTAATTGCTAATTAGTGGTAGGACAGAGTAGATGTTTTGTACTAATGCAAACTGATAATTAAGCAGCATAAGAGGATTGGGAATAGCTTTAGCTGATCCTTAGTCTTAGAGGGAATAAACCAAAAAATATGTAGATTAAATTTTAGAGTACACAGGCTGACTCAGCTTTCTATTAATTTGCTAAAGATTCCACATCTGGCATTATGATGGAAAAAAATGTAATTCTGAAAGTACTACCTATACAATGTGGTCCTGCACCTCGTGTCTTACAAATAGACCAACTTAACCACTGGTGATCTGCTAGCATCAAGTTCTGAACTGTGACAGTAAGTAATTTTAAATGCAATATTCCTTTTACAGGATGAATACTCCATATTTCCTCAGACGTACTCCATAGACATCAATGGCTACATTCTTGTTTATTCAGTCACGTCAATAAAAAGGTAATAAAATCTGTTGTGTTCTCCTGTTTCAGGTATTAACCAGATGTATTCTGGGTTCAGGTTCTACCCCTGCTGTATTTTCTTTACATGTGGTTAATTCATTGAATATCTCTCTCTCTCAGAAGTATAATGGAAATAAAAATTAATGGGTTTTCAGAAATTTCCCCTCAGATCCAAATGTCACAGATACTTTACAGACTAACCTGCAAGGTACCATGTAAGAAACAAGCCCATGCTGAACGACATTGTTTTGAGGTGTAACTGAAAGTACATAGAAAGATTTCAAGAATAAGTAGAGTTCATTGCTCTAGCATCAGATACAAAGGTGGACATAAATATGAACCAAAAGGGCACTGTTCACGTGAAGTACCCAGTTAGTTGCTAGATTGGTCCCTCAGCCTTGTAGCTCGTTACAGTACTGAGAGATGACTTTTGGCCTGTAGACTCCCTCTTGCCATGCTGCAGCAAGTATGTTATTTGAAAAATTTCCCAGAGTTATCTGCTTTGTCCTTGCTGTTGTCCTCATGTCAGAATGGACTGCAGCCGGAGTCCATCATAGCTGGAGTCATTTACTTGCAAGAAGCATCTCCGCCTTTGTCAGGTTTTGTCAGCTTCCCTTATTTTGTCCCTTCGACTGGGTCATCTTGCTTTGTTTAAATACTGGTCATTCTTGAATAGATCTCAATTTTCTAGTATTGTACAGCATCTTTGTTATGACAGCCGATATAATCCTATTTTCAAAAATTTTTGTTTGAGTAAAATGATTAAGACCGTAGGCCTTTCACTCTCTTCAAGTAGAAGAGAAGTTGATCCTTCCTTTCTACTTCCAAGGAGGCTGATGTGCTTTTTACAAGTGCTGAAGCATTCTATGTCTTTTCCTCTGAAGCAGACAAAACTGGTCATCTCAAGTGCTCTTTAGTACACCGTCATAAAATACAGTTGAAACAACTTGCCTGTTGGCTCTTCCGTGCTTCTCAAAGAAAGGATGCAGTCTGGCTATACGTTTCCATTGCTTGCAAGGTCTTTAGTGTTGAACAGGTTTTGGCAGTTCTTCATTCTTGGTTTTCGTCTTTAGTTCTGAAGTAGCAAAGGGCAGGCACATGTGATCTGGAGGAGATGCAATAGATGTTAGGCTTTCATGTGTGTCGAGAGATACTAAGCTACCTAACTCCTTTTTTAATCCGAGCTTCATTATCAGTGATGAATAACTTCTATGAAATAGGAATCGGTATTGTCAGCCCTAAGCAGACAATCCTCCCCTTCTAAAGTGAAGAGAAAAATGTTCATTGATAAGTGGTACCGTGAGGACAAAAATGTCTTTGACTAGAATCAGCATAGATCCTTGGAGGCTTCCGCAGCTTGCGCAGTTCCTGGTTGGCAGCTAAAGGACGTGCTCTTTTTCAGCTACTCCAGTTGTTGCCTCATCATGTCTTGAGCTTTGCAGCCCAGAGAAAGAAATTAAAATCTTTTCTGTGGTATCATTCAATCAGTTAAAATAGAAACCAAATTATGGTGAAAATAGTAACAGAACAAGGTCTGTTGAGGCTGTAGGTAGATAGTATTTTCATCAGTATTTTAGTCTTGATCTGTCTATTCCACGTTTTTTCTTTCTTCCTTTAAATTTCAAAGTATCAGTGATTTTTGTCTTGTTCAGTTCCTTATGTGCTGTATCAAGACAGTGTTAGGTGATTAGGAAAGATCTTCCACAGTGCTCTGGTAGCTTAGATGACTTGCCCAGGCAATCAAATTACAGCCACCATCTGTCTTGACTTCTGTCCAAGTGTGTATATTGATCTGAGTATTGATCCAGCAGGGGTGAGAGCTTTGACAGCAAACTTAATAGAAATGCCTTTTTAAAATTATCATCTTCCCTGCTAACTTCCAGCGGGAAGTTTAAATGAGAGTAGAGTAAAATCGAATGCCCTAACTTTTCATATTCAGCTTAATTAAATTCCAATTTTGTATCTTGGTAGGTTCCATGATTTCATGTAACATACTTATCTGACAGCTAGTAACTTTTTTTTTTGGTTGTATTTCACACATTGAGCTGTTTGCTCTGAACCTATTTGCTTATCACAACTGGAAATGACCTCTTACGGTCTCCAGATCTCTTGCTGTTTCACGACTTGATTTGATGATGCTCTTTTTGGGTTGGTCAATATCTGTCTTTAACCTCTGCCCCTGCTCCTTCTAGCCTTATTAATTTGGAAAGCTTTCTAGAACATTAGATTGATCTGGTCAAGCCAATTTCATTCTTGGCATTCTTAGCAACTTGTTTCTGTGTCAGAATTGCATGTAAGTTTAAATAGCACTTCTCTTTTGGTTTCCACCTTGATCTATTAACAAAGATCAGCTGTTTATTCTTAGTCTTTCGACTAAAAATGGAGCTTGTGAACTATACTAGATAAGCAGATACACAGAACTGGGAAACGAAGAGCCCAAGTTTAACAAGAATGCTTTGCAGCATCGTGCACTGGAACCTCAGGTGAGGGCTTGCCGGGGTGCTGTGCCGTGGCATGGCTTTTTCTAGCTGTGCTGGGAACAGCAGGCCTAATAGTGGAAAGGAAACAGTGATTGTATTGTGTTAGTGATTCAGTTACCCTGTGGCTAGCATGCTAGATCTTTCCTGTTGCTTCAGACTGAGAAACAGTTTTGTGGTCTAGCAGAATTTTTTTTTTTTTTGTAGTATGTTTATTCCTCTTTCAGTTTGCAGGGTCACCTAGTTCTGTATGTAGCAATGCCTCTCAACTTTGTCCCAACCAACCTCTATTTAACTCTTTTTAAAGTAATTATAAGAATGAAAGTCCAAGACAAGTTCTCAAGACCAGAATTTCACTAACACCTTTTCAGCATAAGCTCTTTGTAACCCTACAGTCCTTTCATTGATTCCACATTTTTATGTAATCTGTACTCTACCGTACTTGAGTTACTAATAGTAGGTTGTGCCAGACTAAGTCATGCTTTTGTTTGCAAAGAACTCATTTTCTTGATAGGATATACTAAAATTATTGGCTGAACCTGGAGAAGTATTGTTTGAGGCTCTACTCAGTCTCAAAAATTATTGCTGAAGTCAGACAAAATGACCTACTTGACAGAAAATCCTTTTTAAATACCGTAGCGTTTATTGTTCCAGAAGTGAGAAGGTTTAATGATTCAAATAGCTTGAACAGTGTTTTTCGGCACCACCTCTGAGAGCTCTGAGTTGGAAGTGTGTTTGAGTGCTGCTCTATTTTTGAGAGGTTCAATTCTAATTAAAATGCAGTGCAAGTCAAGCACTGCCTGTGGCTAACAACCTTGGAAGCTGGAAAAGTTTCGGTCACTTTTTTTGTTGTATAGTTGTGTGTCTTGCCTGTGAACCTGTGCCTCTCTTAAAACAAATTGAATTGTGCACTTCATGTACGAGCATTTTTTCCATAGTGTAATTAGAGGAGCACACCACCTGCTCTTCAACCCCATTTATAGCTTGTTCTCAAAAGTACTAAATGTCAAATGCAGTGGATTTTGTTAGTGAGGTTTTTGGCTTCTTGGTATTTCACAGTACTGCTTCTTATCTCCGGTCATCCAACCTTCACGTACATGGTAGGTGAACGGACAACATGTATTTGAATAACCACTGTTTCTATACCATCTTGCAATTTACTCACTTTCCACAGAAAATGAGAATTTAGGCTTCTTTTGGCTTTCACATAAATAAAAGAATTCTAGACAAACTAAGTGTTCTCAAAAAATAATGTATTTTTTTCAAGATGGAGTGTGCTTAACTAAATACTTCTTCATTGAAACTGCTTTAATTTGACATGCTCATCCAGAGTTGTTGGACTGTAGCAGTTAAATATCTTACTGCAGATACGCACCAGATGGGAGGTGGGAGGGGCCTTTAGTAATCCTCTGTTAGATGCATCAGTCCTGGGTACCGTTATTTATTTCTGCAAGTATCATAACCGGGGAGGCTATAATGGCAGGCATAGGCAAGTCTTTGCTGCTTCTAGGACCATTTTGTCTGTTGTACACAAATTGGTAAGGCTTTCGGCATCTTTGTAGTTTGCCACTATACATAAAGTTTTAAACACAGCAACCTGCATATGCATTTACTTGCTTGTGTATTGGGTATTAAGGATAAACATTGGAGTGCATGTGTGACTTCATCCCTTTATTTTGCAGTTTTGAAGTGATAAAAGTTATCCATGGCAAGTTATTGGATATGGTGGGAAAAGTCCAGTAAGTAGTGACACTTTCATCTCATTTCATTGCAGGCATGTTACTAGTACTTTGTTCAGTATACTATAACTGTTCTGAAGTTCTGAACTTTCTTTCACAGAATACCCATTATGCTGGTTGGAAATAAAAAAGACCTGCATATGGAACGGTATGTGAGCTCCAGTATGTGTGACA